CTTATACTCCAGGAACTGGATAGGGACTAAACAACGCTCCTTGACAGTTATAGAGGAGGTGTCAACCCAAGAGACACTATAAGGTTGGGGGTGAGGAACTGGCTTCAACCCTAGACGGGATATAGTAGCCTTCGAAACCGCATTAATACAGCTGCCACTATCCACGATAACTTTACAGCCCTTGTTATTAATCTTGATGTAGGTGTGGAAGATGGCATGACGGCGCCAATCGTCGGCATACTTAGGCTGGGTGAGGGTGCAACGGACGACACCGACCCTGGGTGTATGTGGGATAATGGGACTAGCCTGAATACAACCTAAGAAGGTATCCTCACTGTCCTCCAAGTCTTCAAACTCTTCTAACTTAGGCTCATAAACCTGATCCTCTAGTGGTTCAACGACTATATCCTAACGTTCGTCCAGAACTAGGGCTCGACTAGGGCACTTAGAAGCAATGTGACCAAAACCCTTACAGTTGAAGCATTGCAAACGGGAGGATGTCCTTGAAACCTCAGGACCTCTACCTTTGCTATCCGATGCAGGGGTGGTATTAGAGGGAGGAGGACCTAAAATAGACTTAGGGGATGGCGTGGATGCAGATGAGGTTGTGGTGCGGGGGTCACTACGATTTCTATTCGGTGTCCTAGTCACTAGTTCATAATCTCGAACGAAAGAGTAGGCGTGGTCGAGAGTGGTGACACCCCTAAGGACAAGCTCGCGCCTAAGTTCGTCTTTTAAGCCTTGCCTAAACCTACTTAAAGTCATAACTTCATCCTCAACAACCTGACATTTCATTCGAAACTCATCAAACTGAGCAACATATTCGGTCACGGGTCGATTGCCTTGTGTAAGTGCGTTCCATTGATCCAGTAAGTTACCCCTATAAGATTGGGGTAAATATTTTTCTTGAAGGCGATGCTTCATTTCATCCCAGCTCCCAACAGGGGGAGCATGACGCCTTTCAAGGAGGTCCTCAACACTCTCCCAAAAGAGCTGAGCAGTGCCAGTTAATTTCAAACTGGCAAATTGTACCCTCCGATCTTCCGGGACCCCATACCATGCAAAGAAGCGATCCATATCTCTAACCCATTGATTGAAGGCATTAGGATCTAGACAACCGTCAAACGTAGGGGCATCCAATTTAATGTTTCGAAAGAGGCGCTCCTCGTGGCGAGGGGGAGATTGTGTACCATGACGGTAATACCCCCGCTCTCGTTCCCGAGCCTGATTCCCTTCCCTACGACCATGTCGGGCGTGGTGTCGACCACCTTGTGGGCGACGATGAGGCCTATTAATGGAAGCCTCAGAATTCTCAGCCTCGGTCGAATATGGGATTGGGTCAAGAGTATTCAACCTAGCGGTTAGGGCTCTATTCTCTTCACGAGTAGCGGCTACCTCAGTTTGGACAGCTGTTAGTTGATTTTGTAATTGTGCAAGCTGTCTGGTGAGGGCCTCAATTTGGGCGGGGTCCATGGTAAGGCTACTAGAGCTAGAGGCAGTAACGCGGCCACTACGCAATTGCATACACGGTAACACGACTACGTAAAGTGCACTACTGAGATCAATAATCAACAATCAACTAGTGTCAACCGAAGAATTAGTTATTGAAATTATTATTATTATTATTTATTTATTTATTTTTATTATTATTATTTTTTTTTTTTTTTTGTTTTTTTGTCAATTTAAAGTTTGGGGTTACTTATGGCTCGATCGCAAGCTAATACTACTAATGCTAATACAATAGAAAAGCAAATGTCCAAATACTAGGTCTAGTCATGTGGGGTAAACGATTGAGTAATGGAATTTAGTTCGTGAAATATAATCGAATAGGTGTAAGGCAGTATTATCAAAGGGCTAGTACACATCAATGGATTGTAGTTCGTGAAATACAATCCAATAGGTTGAAGGCAATATTATCAAATGGCCAGCACACAACGAATTAATTGATGCAATTCTAAAATAAAGAAATAGCGTCAACTAAAAATAAATAGGATCAGGAATTCCCTAAGTACTGTTGGTTTGAGTCGTCCCAGCGTCGAATGTCTCCACGTTCTGAACTACTAAGCCCTGGGATGCCAAGATAGAAAATTCCGTGCTCGTCGAGGTGCGGTACTGATCAGTCAACTAAAATGAACCTGTAAATGATGTCAAAAAATTTAAAATTCACGATACCCTTTTTTTTTTTTGCTCTTTTCTTTTCTTTTTTTTCTCTTTTTTTTTTTGTATTTTTTTTCTCCTTTTTTTTTTAATAATAATACAAAATCAGAATAACAAAATAATAAATGAGCCCATTTCACAAATGTGGGCCTCAATTACACTCAAAATCTCAATCAAGCCCAATCCCAATTGATAACTAATAATCCAACCCATTTAATTATTAAACCAATTAACCCAAAACCCAATGGATGACTAATACCCAACCCACTTAATTAATAACCCAATTAACTAAATTAATAACCCAGCCCAAACCCATAATTCATTACAACCGACCGCACGTTGTGGAAGACGGCGACTGGGTTGGTGGCTGGCTCGACGAAGGACTGGGTTAGAAGACGGTGACTGGGTTGGTGGACGGCGATTACTGGAGCAGCCGGCAGTCTGCTGGCGGCTGTTGGTGGCGGCGAGGCTGGGGTTCCGTTCCGATAGGTTGCTGGAAGAAAGCGCCTGAATTTTTCTTGTTTTATTTATTTATTTTTTTTTTTGCTGCAAAAGATTCTGGAATGGTTGCTGTCGGTAAATTTTCAGTTTGTGAGTTGGGAAGGTGGGAGCGGTGGAGGAGACACTGGATTCTGCTGAAACGAGAACTGGGTTCTGCAAGGTAGTATGGTGTCTACAGCAACGGGTTTTGGTATTGATGGTGCGTGAATTGCTGTCCAGGGTTTGCTCTGATACCAATTTGATGTAGTATAAATAACAAAGAAAGAAGAAGGGGGAAGTGAGGAGAAGAGAAGAGAGGAACTGGGGAAGAACACAGAGAGGAGAAACGGGGCTTTAGCCAAACTTTTATTCAATCAAAATTCATCAATCCAAATAACAAACCAAGATAGGTTTAAATAATAAAAACCTAGAAATATATGGCCAAGCCTGTTATTTAAGTCCTAACTAAAATACGTAAACTTAAATAAAAGTCCAACTGGAACAATAATAAAAGTCCAACTAAAATACTGAAACAATAATAAAAGGATGTCCTCATCAGTTTTAAGTAATAGTTGAGAATCTTTACTTTCAATCCTTTCAAAGTATAGTAAATTATTAACATTATTGGTTGTAAGTGGATTTTCAGGATAAGTAATTCAGATGGTTCGTTGGAGCATAGAAAGCTCAAATGGTTGTTAAAGGATTTCATCGACGGCCTACAACGATTTTCACACTACTTTTAGCCTGATGGTTACACCTACCACAATCCAAATCATTCTCACTATCGCCATCACATGAAGGTGGTCCTTGTAGCAATTTGATGTCAAGAATGCCAATGACTTTATTAGAGACGCATTGGACGACAACCTGTACATGTAACAATCCCAATGTCATTTATACTCGCTGCCGCCTCTCATGTTTATACGCTCAAGAAAGTCATCTATGGGCTTAGACAAATGCTCATGTGCTGGATTTCATGGACTCCGCAGCTTTCTCACATCATAGGACCTTCAAAATAAGTCTGATACCTGTTCATGTGTTTATATCGGGGTTCCCTAACTATTTATCCATGGTGTATTGTGACAAAATAATTTGCTATCCTTCTTGAAAGTTCATTAGCAAATTTTCCTATTGATTCTCCATCAAAGACCTCAGCACACTCCACTATTTTGTGGTGTCAAGGTCCTTCACATACACAATGTACTAACTGGTGAAAAATAGAATGCGATGTCAAATCTGTAACCACTCAACTTTCCACAGCCAAAGTACTCCAGCTTCATGATAGGAGGATCCACTGATGCCACATTATATTTCCAAGTAATTGGAGCATTCCAATGTCTATCTTTTACTCGTCTAGATGTTAGCTTCACCATCAACAAGTTCTCAGTATATGCATGATTGCATACTCTATCAGTCACAATTTGGTGTGAATTCAAGAGAGCCTAATGGCAGTCCCTGAAAGGGCACTTCTGACTTTAGTTTATTTCTCACTTGTAGCTTTCCTTCGCCTTTCATTTAGTCCCTAATGTCAATTTGGCGGACAAACTAATGATCGAATGTCAGCATTAGCCAACATTGTGTTCCTAGGTTCTATTCCAACTAATGAAATCAACAAATCAGAAAACAATTACCTGATCAACAACAAAAGTGAAATATCATGTGTTTGCTTCCACTGCTGCTGAAGTTAATTGGGCAGAAAATCCTCTTGCTGAGTTGCATATGTCTACCTGACCTTTAACCATTTCCTATGACAATGTTGGAGACATCTGTTTTCATTCTCATATGAAGCACACTGCAACTGTCTATCAGTTCGTCCATGATCAAGATAACAAAGGCCACATCTAGGTAGTCCCTTATACTCTATAGATTAACTCTGCCGAGTGCAATGCATATTAATATATTTTAGAACCTTTCGCACTAATCTCATTGTTTAAACTGAATAGGTAGAAATGGCCAGTCTTGGTCCGGTTCAGTCCGATTCCATTGAGTCATTGGAATATGATATCAGGCTTCCATTCATATCTTTGAAAAATCTATTTTGAACAATTTTTACACTTAAATTGGCTGACAATTTGAATTCCGAAGCTGCTTATGATGGAGATTGAGTTTTGATTGCCTTAGGATAGATTATATTTCTCATTGGCCAATTCTTTTATATAATTAGACAATATATCAGATCGAAAACATAAAACGAATAAAAATATGACGAATATCAAACCGAAAGGAGTCTAATCCAACAAAATATCACGAGAGAACAAGAATTCAAATACACTTATCCCAACAGATCATAACGTCAAAAAGAATACCTCAACAAATTAATCAATAAACCATGATGTAAAAGAGGCAAAGAAATGACTGTGTACCATAGAAGTAGAAGTGGAGACCCCATAAAGCAAGCAGGTGGTGTTGAGCCAAGACTTTCCAGCTGCAATCCCATAAAGACAGGCGACAGCCAGAGGCCACTGAAAAAGAAGCTCAACCCATACAAGCCCAACAAAGAAATGGGGCTTCTCCGCAATCAAATAGTCCCCATATTCACGTCCGTACCAGCTCTTAATATCAATCAAAACGGTCGGAAATAGGTGTCGAGGAAGACAAGTTTGAGAATCGATAAGTGGTGCTGCCAAGGCAATGACAAAAAAGAATATGAAGAGTGCTAAATCAATGAGCTTAATGAGAGCACCCATGTTAAATTGACAATGATCTTCTTGTTCTTGGCTGATTTTACCGTAGATTTTGTGTATGGGTTTGTTTTGCTTTCAGTTTTAATCCTCTTTCCTGTTTAGTTGAGAGTAAAAAGGGGATCTGACGATGAATGCTCAACGGGTTGTGTTGGCAAGAATGTTTTGTGCCATTTGGAAGGCAAGGATTTATTCTTGGAAGGCAAGTGGGAACTTGGAAGGCAAGGATTATTCTGGGAAGTCAAGGTGCAACTTGGATTGACTTGCTTGGCACTTTGTCAGATCAGGTGGGGAGCACTCGGACCCTGGCCAGTTGGAGGCACATCCTGCGATTAATCGGACTGTGTGAAGAGGGGTCGGATCACAGATCCAAGGATTAGTCTAGAATAGGACACCTTGTAAAAAAAAGAATGTTTTGTGCCATGCCATTGAACATGATGTATACTACACCAATGTTTGGAATTATTTTGGAAAAATAAATTTTGAAACATTAAATTTTTAAAGACTGTAATGATTAAAAATTAGGGATGGTTTAGATTTAGTTGCAAAATATTTTATTCTGAGACGATAGTTATAAATGAATTCGAGAGAAACAAATATTTTGTTTTAATGAGTCAAACACGGGCATATTTGTTATGCAAAGCATCATTTTGGTTTGCAAGTTGATAACTTTAATCTTCAATTTGAGGTTTCAAGTACTTTGATACAAAATTTGTAATAAGTTTTGTAAAGTCTTTTCAAGTTTTACTTTTGTATTTCTTCAATGAGAACAGATGACAACTTATTATGAAAAATCGAATGATTGAGTCATGCACAAAAGACGAAGATACCAAAAGTTGGTAAGCCCTAAACACTTTTCCTAATTGAGATCCTCCAAAAGTTTCCACCAATGTATAAAAATTGCCAAGAAGATTCAAAATCATTTTAATGATCAAAAAGGAATTAAGGATGAATGATATAGGACAATTTTACAAAGTTTGTTTCTTTGTAGATAAGGTTTTGTTAAGTTTTGCATTTGTTTGAAGAAATTATTTGAAGTGAAAAGTCCGAAATATTTGGCAAGATATCCTTATTTCAACCGATCTTCTTCTTCTAAGTGCATTTGGCGTGTGAGAATGTGTCATTAAAAAGTACAAAAGTTATCAATCCAAGTGTAAATTTATTTTATTAGAAAAATGTGCTAAGAAAAATGATTGCCCAAAGGGCTTTTAGTGATAACACAAGGTAAGATTAAGCTATTATTTTGCTCATATAAAAAAAGAAAATTACAATTTTAATCATCAAGTTCATTATAATGAAATTATTCTAGTTTCAACTCTCTCTCTCTCGTTTCAGAAAATTTTATTTTGATTCTGCACTAAAAAGTACCGAACAAAGATTTTTCTACTATTTCTTCTGCCAATTATCACCATTGACAATTTCACTGTATACTGCCTATCTGATTATGTAACATACACACTGAAATGTTCAAATCATGTACATGGCAATGGACAAATCTTTTTCCAAGTTGGTGCACTGCTCTGCCCAACAGAAACTTGACTGACTTGGTGCCTTTTGGACTCGCCACTCTTCCTTTTAAGTGTTTCCTTGATTTCATCCTCTTTCTTATCCATAAAATCAATCATATCCTTGAAGCTCTTGCTGCTTCGAATGGATCGTCTGCCGGGAGGTTCAGGTTCAGGTTCAAGTTCTTCACTATCATGCTGCTCTCCTTCCGCGCTGTATCTGCTGTACTGCCAGCAAACTCTGCAAAAGAAGAATACTAGAGAAAGGAAGCACACAATGCCACATATAAGAAACAGGCCCCAGAAGCTTGTGAGGGGAAGCTGGTTCACTTCTGTTGGGTTGGTTTGTCCAGAGCATCCTTCACGGGATAGCCATTTATCATGGATTCTCTGAAGCTCGCCGTTTTCAGAAAGTTTAAGGATTGCTGTTGATAAATCAACTGCCAGTGGTGAGTCCCTTGGAAATGCCTGACCATCAAATTTTAAAACTAGATTCAGATCTGACTACACTGGCAATGCAGAACTAGAAGCTGAATGCAATAAAGAACCGGTCCAGAATATCTCCAGCCCCAATTTAAATCATTAGTCGAAATTGGCACAAGCTATTTCCAATGTACCATTATAACAACCAGCCGAAGCTGCACCAGCCTATGGGATGGGTGATAGCCCCATCATAGTAGTTTACACAACAATGTTCCCTTCCCCGGGTGATGAGGGATTCTATAATCCCTGGAGAATGGTGACTCCTTTTGGTGAAGGCCTTGATGGCAGTTTGCACGTGTCTTAAATATATACTGCCTTCATCCCATAAAAATAGGCTTGTTTCTATTTTCACATAGATTAAAAAAATGTAATAAATTTAGTAGGAAATATAAATTTTCTTACATTTTTCTTATACACCATACTAAAAAATATCAATACTTTCAATAAGGAAAGTGATGTATAATTTGGAATTGACGAAAAATGAAACTAATCCTATCTTTATGGGATGGAGACAGTATAACACAGCCTTTCCTTCCCCAGGCAACTTGGGGTTATACAACTATGGAGCAGATATGAATAAATTAACACTAACAAACCAGGTCAATTTTAGCAAAGTTATAAGAACACTTCAGAATTGGACAAGAACAGATCACAAAACTCGGTGCATGAGATATAAAAATTAAAATTGCAGCTATGATACTTACAAATCCCCATCCACTTTTTGTGAACTCCTGTCCCACTATCCTGAATTTGCACTTTGTGTTGGACAAAAATAGCTCAACATAGGGGCGCTCATCAACAATGGCAGCCACTCCACCACCACTTGGACCTTTCTGAAGGGCACTAATGTAATCATTTTGGCTTTTCATTATTCGGAGCCTTGACTCCGCAACATTTAACTCATCAATAAGATAATCGTACGCAAATGACCCATCCTGGATCCCTATCGGATCGGTACTTGAGATCAAACTGTCAATTCCTTGAACTTTCGAACTCAGCTGCTGTACTGTGAGTATTGATGTCAAACTAGCTGTATAACTTGAATTAATAATTAACACCACAAACAGCCACAAGATGAGCACCAAACGTCCCAGGGTGCTTACAGTGTTCTCTCCTAAACATTCCAAGCCAATCAGTGGAGTGTTAAACTGTTATACTTGAAATAATCACAAAAAAGCTTCCAAGAAAATCAACAGTGAAAGCCAAAGAAAAAGATAGGCAGGATTTACTTACTATGTGAAAAAAACATTGTTGAGAAACTAAACCTGAAAGATCAACATACAATTTAGCACGGAAATTTCAAAAATGAAACAGCATGATATGAATGTATGTGTTTTAAGTATTAATTACATTGATGTGTTACCATGTATGTACTTAGGTAAGTCATGTATCTATTGTAAGTTGAAAAGAGGAGTCCATGGCTACCAGAAACTCAATTTTGGATCTGGACCAATTTCCATTTGGACACATGTTTGGACATTTGGACCAATTTCAATCATCAAACTACCTTAATAAGTATTAGACACATGTTTGGACATTCCACTTGCAAGTGTTTTATTTTGGTCACTAGTCTATTTTTTGTTGTAGACCTGGCACTCAATTTTCATTTACTTACTCCATCAGTCACTACAGTCAATTCACTACGATGAAAATAACAGAATATGCACGCGGAGGAGTGATTTCCTACATGCATAAGCTCAATAATTATTTAACAACTGTCAACCGGTAGGGATAAGAAATAAGTCCGTCCTCCAATTGCATGTTCTGTTAGTTTTCACACAATTGATTGCATTGACTAATGGAGTAAGTAAATGAAGTTGCGTGATAAATTTGCAAAAAAATAGATGAGTGACCAAAAAAAAAAAGCACAAACATAAGCTGAGTTCCTAAACATGTTTTTATACCATATACTAACTATTAAGTGCATCACAGTTTAAGAGTTGTAATCCAAGTTCTCCTCCCATGAACTTCACATAAAGAGAATCCCGAGTTTTACTTAGACTTGTATTCATTTGTGTTCAATAAGGGACAGAAGGGACTATCACATAATAAAAGGTGCATTATATGCATAATGAAGGAGTTTGATGATTGAAAAGTGGAGATTCTGAAATCAGAATGGTTTTTCTGTTTTTCTTAAATTCTGTACTGTACAATGTTCCCTATTTGTAGTTTAAAGATGTAAGGAAAAAGGGAAATACAATTATCCCACAATGTCTACAAATCTGCAACAAATCAATCAATATATTCTAACTATGGAAAGGGGGATCCTTAACAACTATTCTCAATCAATTTTGGATTTGAACACTTCCCCGCAAGTTGGATCGTAAATGTTGATTGTATCTAATTTGCAAATGAAATCATCAAATTTCTGTCTAGGTAGTCCTTTGGTGAAGACATCCGTAGTTTGTTCCAATGTGGGGCATAGGTCATACAAATAATTCCTTCTTCTACCTTTTCATTTATAAAGTGTCTGTCCACCTCTACATGTTTTGTTCAATCATGCTAAGTAGGATTAAGGGAAATATTGATTGCTGCTTTAATATCATAATAGAGTTTGATTGGAAACTTTATTGTGACATGTAATTTTTCCATGAGCTTTCTCAACCAGAGTCCTTCACATAATCCTTGTGCAACAGCTCTAAACTCAGCTTCAGCACTACTTCTAACCACTATATTTTGTTTCTTGCTCTTCCACATTACTAGACTTCCCCATACAAAGGTACAGTGACCAATAGTTAACTTTCTATGGTCAATCAATCTTGTCCAATTCACATCTGTGAAGATTTCAACCTCCTTCCTTTCACCCTTTTTAAAGAGTAGTCATTCTCTCGCGGAGCCCTTGAGGTACCTGAGTATCTTATAGACAACTTCTAGGTGACTTTATTTTGGAGAATGCATGTGTTAGCTTAATTAACTAACGCAAATGCAATGTCTGGTCTGGTGCTTGACAAGTAGATAAGTTTTCCAGCTAATCTTAGATATCTATCAACTTCTACTGAATTTCCTCCATCTTCAGTTTTCTTTCCACATCCACGTAGGATATCACTTGGTTTACATCCTAACATGTCAGTTTCGATAAGAAGTTCGAGGACATATTTTCATTGTGATACGCTGATGCCACTTCCATTTCCAGAAATATCGCGTTAATCCCAAATCCTTTACTTCAAGTTCGGTGGCTAGGGTCTTCTTTAGTCTTTCCATCTCTACTATATTATCACGATAATATCATTGACATATACGATTAATATCATTTTAGTACCATCTTCAAATTGTCGGATAAACATAGTGTGCTCTGACTGTCCTTAGGAATATCCTTGACTTTTCAATAGTTTTGCAAATCTGTCTAATCATGCTCTTGGTGACGGTTTAAGTTCGTATAAAGACCTTTTTAGTTTACATACTCAGGTTTTTTCCATTTACTTTGCAAAAGTTTGGCGGTAGTGTCATGAAAACTTCTTCATCCAATTCTCCATTCAAAAATGCAATTTTAATGTCAAGTAGTTGAAGTGGCCAATCCAAATCGGCTGCTAATGATAGAAGACTCGAATTGTATTCAACTTTGCTGCTAGTGCAAATGTTTTTGTATAGTCAATGCTGTAGGTTTACGTGTAACCCTTTGCAACTAACCGAATTTTATACCTTTCTATTATCCGGTGGCTTTGTATTTTAAGTTAAATACCCATTGGCACCCAACTGGTTTCTTTCCTTTTGGTAGATCAATTACCTCCCAAGTTTCATTTTTTCAGTGCGGGCATTTCCTCCAATACTGCTTCTCTCCATTTTGAAATTTTCAAGGCTTCCTAAATATCTCTTGGAATTTTTGCACTGTCAAGGCTAGATGTAAAATCACGAGCTCCTATCGATAGAGTATTATAGGACATAAATTTTGAAATAGAATGGAGAGTAGATGATCGAGTTTGTTTTCTAAGAGCAATAGGTAGGTTAACATCAGAGATTCTTGATAGCTGAAAAGGATTTGGAACTATTATCGGTTCTAATTCTCTTGGTGCTTCGGGTGTGAGATTTTCCTTGAACTTTGATTTTGGCTTCCTTCAATAAACTAGTATCTCTTTATCCCTTTGCTTTCCTACATGTCCTCGAGGTTTAAGTTTTCTCCTGTTAATGGTATACGAGAACAAGGTGGAGGAATGGATTTGATGTTTATGGTATGTTGGGTTTTGATACTCAATAAATTTGGACGATGATTTAAAACAGTTGTCGGATAATTTGTCGACACCATAGACTTGGCTCGACTCGAATACTACCGACACTTTAGGAAGGCCCAAGTTGGAGTTAGTTTTATTGTCGATGGATATATGAGTCTTGGCCCAATTGTTATTAAGTTTGCCTTCGTTCTTAAGTGGCCCATTTACCCATTGTTGGCCCAATTAAGTAACTTAATACCCATTATATATCAATCTTCTCCAGCAGCCGTTTCTTATGGTGTGTGTGCATGTGGAAGAGAGGATCGAGAGAGAGATAGCCGAGAATGGGAGAGGCAGCCGGCTTGGGGGTTTGTTGGAGTGTAACCTAACATTGTTGCCTCTTCTTCTTCCTATTACCACCACCATCCGTTTCTCTTTATGGGGTTTGAGAGTTCTTGAAGCAATCAAAGTGAAGGTTAAAGGTTTGGGTGGAGCCAAGGTAAACTAGTGTTCGTTTGGCTGTTTTCTGAGCCCAGAATCAAGATTTCTCGAGAGATTTCCGCGACATGGTAGGTTCAAGAGGAGGAAGACCACAGTCAAAAAATCGATATTCATTCCACTTCTCCCCCTGAAGAGAGATTTTTTTTAAGTAGTGGATAGATTCAAACAAAGTGATGCTAAGGCTTACAAATATCTCATTCGTGGAAGGATCATAGCCTTTTTGTTGGAAAGTATCCAATCAAGACACAATTAATGGCTCTTGGATCAAGTTTACTTTGATATGAGGATGAACATGAACAAATGCAATGCATCCATATACTCGTAGAGATAGATTGGAGCCGAGGCAAGAGGTAGGGAAGAATTTTTGAAATTTTTAAAGGGTATTTCGAAATTTAGAGTTTTGTTGATTAGGTATTTAAATGTCAAGCTAGCATTTCCCCAGAATACTTTAGGCATGTTTGTAGTTAACATCAAGGCACGAGCTACTTCTAGGAGATGTCTATTTTTACATTCAGCCACCCCATTTTGTTGGGAGTGTCGACGCACGAACTTTGATGAATTATACTATGTGTTTGAAGGAAGTTCCCCGTGATTTTATTGAAGTATTCTGTGCCATAATCAGTGCACAGAATTTAGATTTTTTTTCCTGAAATTATGCTTGAATCATAGAGTGAAAATTGACAATCACGGATCAATCGTCGAATCTTTCATTTAGCAAGTAGAACTAACAGATTCGAGTATAATCATCAATAAAGGTAACGAACCATTTTGTATAAGTACGGTTAAGGTTTCGTGAGGGCCCCATAAATCACTATGGATCATGGTGAATGATTTCGATGATTTGTATGTGGATTTCGGAAATGAAGCGCATTGATGTTTTGTAAATTCACAGATTTCACGTCGAAGGTCAACAGAGTTTTTATTTGGGAAAATTGAAGGTAATACACATTTCAAATATTGAAAATTTGGGTGACCCAGTCTAAAATGCTATAACATAATTTCTCTATTTCTAGGGACAAATGTAGAATTACAAAGTGTAATTTCATGTTGTTTATTCTCATCAACTTCTTCAAAATAGCAGAGTACTTCACACTCCTTAGCATTGTTAATTGTCTTTCCCGGTGATAGTTCCTGAAAAACATAATGAGATGGGAGGGAAGGAATTTAGCAGAGCACTTAGAATTTTTTTTCATCTGACTTACTGATAATAAATTACAAGATAAATTTGGAAAACGAAGGATGGATTATAGGATTATAGAATCAGAGATTTGAATACTCCATTTTCCTGCAACTTATGAGAGTGATTCATCTACAATTTTAACTTTAAGATTACTAGCACAGGGTTAAGTATGAGAAAAACCTATGATAAGAGTTCATCATGTGATCGGATGCTTCAGGGAGTTTTAGATTGAGTGGTAGATTTTAAGGCTCTCAAAAAATTACCTTCGTGTTCCAGGGAACTTCACTGACCATTCGTGGAAGTTTCATTGGGCTTTTGAAGACTGGACAGAATTTTGTAGATTTGCTCTATCTATTCGGAAGTAAACTGGCTATTGTGTAACTCTTGGGGTTTTCTGTTTGATAATCGATCAACGCTCAGTATCCACGGCTTTTTTTGTTTTGTCTTAATTTCCAATTTGTCAGTTTTCCATGTAAGTCCCAACATGTGCCCTCTTTATGTCCCAGCTTCCTACAATGTTCACACCAGGGTTGCCCTTTTTGTTATTTTGGGCCTTACCTATTTGCTGCCCCCTTTAAGTGAAGGCCCATAGCTTCAGGCCCAACGCCAGAATTTTTTAGCAACTCATATGAATTTTGGGCTCCATTTTTTTATAAACCCAGGTCCATTACTCGCCAGCCTAATACCTAGTGGCCTTTGATAATAGGGCCGATACTTCAACTCCAGACCAATCACTCCACCAATCTCCTCCAACACGATTTTTAGTCGATTTTTCTCTCGTCGAAAACTTCTGTGAAGACATCCCTCGTGGATAATAATGGCCGACGGTCCAAGAATTCGACCCCTCACGTCATCAAGGTTGCGATGCAGTCCAGCCAAGAACTCGTATACTCTCTCGTTTTCTAATTTTTTTCTTGTAAAAGAGAGCTATCCCCCGGGCATTCCCATTCTTCTTCAGAACTCAGGTCGAGTTATTGCTAGTATGCTTTCATCTCCAGGTAGTAATCAATCACATCTTGCTCGCCCGGTTTAATTTGCCATAACTTGGTTTTGATTTCAAAAATTTGTGATGAATTCTCAGAGTCTGACTATGTCTCCTTGACTGTGTCCCATACATCCTTCACGGTTGGTAGAAACAAGTAAGTTTTTCTGATGATCGGTTTCATGGAGTTTATGAGCCACGCTGTAACCACAGAGTTCTCAAACCTCCACTTTTGAAGAAGTGCAGCGTTGGTGGACTTCTTTGTTTCTCCAATGAGGTAACTCAATTTTTCTTTTCCATCAATTATTAACTTGATCAATTGAGCCCATTCTCGAAAGTTCTTCCCATTTAGTTTTTTGATTGTTAGTTGAAAAGATGGATTTTCCTCGGAACCTGCGGCAGAAGGTGCTTAAAATTCACCATTAAGAGAGTCAGAGGTTGCAGATCCTTCGTTATTGGTGGTGGCTTCTGTCATGATTTTGGTGAGTTAAGGGATGATCTTAGGCTCATACCATGAAATCAGGATGGTTTTTCTATCACCCCGTTTGAGCCTCATTATTTCTCGTTATAATGTTTTAAATAGTGTTTTCCTTGAAAAAAGATTGATTGAAAAGTTTTTTATTTAAAGAAAATTTTAATTTAATGTAATGAGAAATAATGGGACTCAAACGGGACTATATTTCTTAAATTTTGTACGGTACAAGGTTCCCTATTTATCGATCAAAGATGGAAGGAGAAAGGGAAATAAAATTATCCTATAATCTATAGAAATCTGCAACAAATCAATCAATATATTCTAACTATGGAAAGGGGGATCCCTAACAACCATTCTCAATCAATTAAGGATTTCAACAGATACTAACCAAAACATCGTTATCAGTTGTTGCCTTGGAGAACCACGGAACTCATGATTCGTCCGGTGCTCGAGTATCCAGACCACGGCTCCCACGAAGACAAAAAACACGACAGTTAAACACCACATTTGCCAAGTAAATGGCTTGAGGAAAGACCACGGACTAGATTTAATCTCTTTGACAGAAGCAACAACAACGAGCCCAGACTCCATGTAAGGTTGTGTAAAGTCCACAATTCTCGTCCTATTCGTGGTAATAGTAATATCCCCAACAGCTGCATCATATTTCTGTGAATCGAAGAAAACAAAAATAAGATTCCTGATAAAAAGAAAGTTTTGAATCACGGCTGTCAAGGTAGTTTAGTAAAAATTAATAAGCCAGCTCTTAGAAAGAGCACCAGTGCAACTGAGATAGATCTTATAAAAAGCACAAGTAGAAATCTGAGAAATAACTTTAGAAACATAATATAAAGACAGTTTTTATCAGACGTCAATCCTTAGTTAAATGGTGTCAAATTCTATTATTGCTTTTCACTCTGCTGCTATCTTTATTTTCGATTTTATTTACTTTTTTTCTTATATCACTGGAGCACGAAGGCTAGTCTAACAACAAGCGCATATAAAAAAAATAAGGAGGAAATACTAGGATGTTTACTTTCAGTATTCATTTTAGTATATGCCTTTATTCTAATCTTGAAAAAGAAGGGTAAGTCAAATCATAGTATATAGTATATGTAACCAGAAAGGGGGTGCTTACACTTTGCACCACATCATTAACAATGTTGTTGTATGAAGGGTTTCTTCGACCGTCTCCGTATAAAATATATTTGTGAGGAACAGGGTAAGGCAGCAATCCTATTGCAGCTTCAAATATGTCAATGCAATATCCTTTGGTCCCTAAAGGTCCTTTGTCTTTACTCACAATTTCAGCATAAGTAACTCGATATGGCACAGCAATTTGCAAAGGCTTCCCGTTGTTTGGGAACACCCATCCCCGAGGCTTTGTTGTAGTTTCCCCAGGCCATATAACACCATAGAGATGTTGATTACTGGTAGAAGTGTTTGGTGGCTTTGTATATAATATTTCTGGTGCAACAGTAGAGAGCCCCGAGTAATTTGACCAATAACCAAGCAACCTCAATGAAGTTCCACCAATGTTGAGAACATCATATGCTGGACGAATCAAATTTTTTTCAGAATCAAATTGTATTGGTCCCGTTAGACCTGTGAAGTTTGTTGCAACAAGTTTCTGGAGTAACTTTGGGCCTTCATCAAAAATTCGGAGGGCGCTTAGTTTCAGAGAGGTCCCATTGCTGTCGTGCAATCTGGGATCATTAGAAAAAGTAACAGTGCCTCCATCATCAAAGAAAGCATCAAGAGCTCGAGCAAGTAACCACACAGAATCATATGAATATAGAGCATATGAATTGAACTTTGGGGTTTCTTTATCTTTTAAGTTTCTCCAACGAGAAGTGAATTTTTTTTTAATATCAGAGTCTGGCGTGTGATGGCGAAGTGCAATAACCCCTTGTATAAGATCCATAGTATTAGGAATAACAGTATCTGAAGAATCCAAAACACAAGGAAGCCAATCTGTAGCAATCCAAACACATCCACTGTCCATCATTCCAAGACGTTTTGCTATTGAAAAGACTTCAAGACCTGAATCAGGATTAACATGTATGACAAAAACCCGTGATTCCATAAGGTTCACTCCAACCAATAGGCTTTCTATATCACTTGCAGTGGCTCCAGGAGCAAAGGCAGCCTTATAAGAAATCTTAGCACGGTTCTTTGCAAGTGCATCACCCAATATAGAAATCCCATTTCTACCATAATGATCATCAACAAAGATGGCAACTACCTCTCTCCATCCAAAGTATTCTACAAGATTGGCAACAGCATACATCTGGAAGTAATCACTTGCTGTAGTGCGAACGAAGTACGGGTACTGCAGAGCAGAAAGAGTTGGGTCTGTAGCCCCAAATGATAAGAGTGGCACATGAAGTTCACTCACGACGTGGGAAATAACATGGGCTATTCCTGACGATTGTGGACCAATTGCAGCAATAACATCTCTGTCTATGAGCTGCATAGCTACATGAGTAAGAATGCCCTGTCAAAATTTACCTCCTCTCTTTTTTCTTTTACTTGTATCATTAAGAAACTAACAAAAGGTTGGGACAAAGAAAAATTTTTAGAGATTAAGTGAAAGAAGCATGGCCTGCCGCATATTTTGATTCTTCCCAATATCCTCTAGTTGCTACATATAACCAAGATCATAATCTTCAAATGTGCAATCGAGTTTTATATATATCTGATTTTGGAGGCAAGAGAACATTATAGACTACGACAAAAGATACCTTACACGTTTTTGGCACTTTTTCAATTCCTCCAAAGCTATGATTTTATGAGAAACTGATTATGCAATCAACTAATACAGAAATGCTTGCCAAGAAAAATTTATAAGACAGTTAAACTTCTATAGGAAGATATTGTCTTGGACAGATTGAGAAAATAATACATGTAAATCTGGAATTTTGCACTTGGCACATAGCTTTGTTGAGCTGAATTGAGTATTTATATGTGTAGTACTCTCTTAAATTATATTCTGTAGTATTCAAAATTGGTTTTGAACTATCAAACATTGTAATGCACAATTATTACCTTCAACAGTTCCAAGAAATCCACTGCAATTTGTATCCTGCAAGATGAGGTTCAACTTTGTGCCCCTAAGAATGCTAGAATCAGAATTTATATCATCAACTGCAGCGATAATTGCAGGCTTAGCCGACCGTCCAATAGCAGAGTTTAATGTAAACAAAGCTCCAACGTTCACCACCTTTGGCCTAGCTGGAGCAGCGGCGTTTCTAGTTTTGCCAATAACTTCCATGGGCACCCACAAACAAGAAATGAATATAACAAGTAATTTCATTATAGGTATATGGCCCTCCATTACCAAGAACCCCAGGATATGAACAATTGATTCTTCAAGTCAAATTGCCATATTTTCAAGAAATCAAGCACCTGCTAGCAGATTCATCAGGAGAGGAAGGCTCAAAAATCCTAGAATTCGAATTCAAGAAATTTTCTACACATGGGCTCTTCCAAAAATAAAAGTTATAATGAGGAAAAAAAAAACCAATTTGCCACTTAGATATTGATTACCAAGAGGGGACAGAGAAAGGAGGCAATGTTCACACTGAAAATAATTATGAATACAAAATTTTCTGATCCCCAAAATCCATTTAACTGGGTTTACCATTTTGAATAAATAAGCCCAATCAATCACACAAGCATTTATACTTACGTAATTAATGATTGATCATAAGAATTAATGTACCGAAAGTGACAATGGAAACTTGTAGAGATGAACTAAAGATAATTAAGTACCAGCAAGTGGTGAGAGAGTGGGTGGGTACCGCCCAGAAATATTTACCTCAAGAACATCCAAGAATCCAATTTGAGCAATTTCACAGTTAAGTCCGCATGCATGTGATGTGTGTGTGTGTGTGTGGAGCTACGAACAACAGAACCATATTCTATAAGTAGTAAAATTAACTAGGTACACAGTCTTGCAAGCTGGGCAAAGAATTATTCTTTCCCATTTCCACTCACTTCACAATTTAGCTTTATAATATTCATCTTGTCATTAAAAGTGGGATCTGCTTTGATGTGAAAACCTGTAAAGTCGAGTTAGAATAATTTATACTGGAAAAAAAATACGTGATAGACAAGATTTGTGTCGTTCAACTGAAGGGAAAATTCCAGCATTAGTTCTCAACCAGTGACGGCATTGACTGTAAACGGGTTAGCGATCACCTAAGATCCCAAATTATGCAAGGTTAATCGGATGATTGAAGAAAAATGAAAATTATATTTATAGAATTCTATAAAATAGAATTATCATATATATATATATATATGGCATAAAATTATATTTATTTGTTAAATATATGATAAATATATCACAAGCATTACTCTCTCTTTACTACTAATTTGACCATTTATTTTCTAAACATTCATTATCTTTTCTTAACAAAACAAATGTCTCTTTGTCTTATAAAATTACACGTCCAACAGTCATCCACCATAATTTTTTTCAACGCAACAAGAAATAAATTATTTCTCTTTGAATTAAAATTTTAAAGATTCAATCTCACTGTTATTGTTACAGTTTTACGTGTTTATTTCTTTCTTCCTTACCTTCAACACATATACTACAGAATAACCACTTAGAATAACAAAACAGATTATATTTGTCGAGAAGTGCAAAGTAAGTAAGTTGTTATTATATTGTTTTGCTTTAATCTCATGATAATAGCCTTTTAAGATGTTTGTTGCAAGTATTTTAAATTTAATAATTCTTTGTTTGTGTTTATGTAGATACTTCTTATTTGTAAGTTAAGTTTTTTATGAATTTATATAAAATTAGAAGTTGGTTTGTATTTAATCGTCATATTCATTATTTTGTTATACTATCTCTCGTAGTTAACATTCTCCAATTTTGTACATAAATAATTCAAATGTATATTCAATTTTGTTTGATACAGTTACATTGAGAAAATGATCAAAGAAAGTAATATATCTCTTTATCATTGTATTGTAATTCTGTTTGTCAAGCTTCACTTATAATTTATATTGCATGTTAAAATTTAACATTTCATTATTTTCTTCTTCAAATTTTAGGATTTAGTTGTTTGTATTAGATTATTCATAACTATATTAAGACTCTAAGTAAGAATGCTCAAAATATAGGGATTCCATATTTAAAGTTGGCATAAGGCTCCCGAAATATCTGACTGGCTCGATCCTCAAACTAGCCTATAGGTCCCAATCTATTAATTGTGGGCCTTTTGGCACTTAAGTTGCCAACCCATCAATTTCATTGCGATGTGGTTCTCAATTGACGGGAACTATTAAAAAGTCAAAGTTTTACGTATGCCATCTTCTTCAATGATTAAGTTGGGGTGATTAGCGGAAAATATTATAATCGTTTTGCACTCATTGTGTATATCATTTATATCCTATCAATCTTGCAGAGTTTTTATTTGGGAAAATTGAAGGTAATACACATTTCAAATATTGAAAATTTGGGTGACCCAGTCTAAAATGCTATAACATAATTTCTCTATTTCTAGGGACAAATGTAGAATTACAAAGTGTAATTTCATGTTGTTTATTCTCATCAACTTCTTCAAAATAGCAGAGTACTTCACACTCCTTAGCATTGTTAATTGTCTTTCCCGGTGATAGTTCCTGAAAAACATAATGAGATGGGAGGGAAGGAATTTAGCAGAGCACTTAGAATTTTTTTTCATCTGACTTACTGATAATAAATTACAAGATAAATTTGGAAAACGAAGGATGGATTATAGGATTATAGAATCAGAGATTTGAATACTCCATTTTCCTGCAACTTATGAGAGTGATTCATCTACAATTTTAACTTTAAGATTACTAGCACAGGGTTAAGTATGAGAAAAACCTATGATAAGAGTTCATCATGTGATCGGATGCTTCAGGGAGTTTTAGATTGAGTGGTAGATTTTAAGGCTCTCAAAAAATTACCTTCGTGTTCCAGGGAACTTCACTGACCATTCGTGGAAGTTTCATTGGGCTTTTGAAGACTGGACAGAATTTTGTAGATTTGCTCTATCTATTCGGAAGTAAACTGGCTATTGTGTAACTCTTGGGGTTTTCTGTTTGATAATCGATCAACGCTCAGTATCCACGGCTTTTTTTGTTTTGTCTTAATTTCCAATTTGTCAGTTTTCCATGTAAGTCCCAACATGTGCCCTCTTTATGTCCCAGCTTCCTACAATGTTCACACCAGGGTTGCCCTTTTTGTTATTTTGGGCCTTACCTATTTGCTGCCCCCTTTAAGTGAAGGCCCATAGCTTCAGGCCCAACGCCAGAATTTTTTAGCAACTCATATGAATTTTGGGCTCCATTTTTTTATAAACCCAGGTCCATTACTCGCCAGCCTAATACCTAGTGGCCTTTGATAATAGGGCCGATACTTCAACTCCAGACCAATCACTCCACCAATCTCCTCCAACACGATTTTTAGTCGATTTTTCTCTCGTCGAAAACTTCTGTGAAGACATCCCTCGTGGATAATAATGGCCGACGGTCCAAGAATTCGACCCCTCACGTCATCAAGGTTGCGATGCAGTCCAGCCAAGAACTCGTATACTCTCTCGTTTTCTAATTTTTTTCTTGTAAAAGAGAGCTATCCCCCGGGCATTCCCATTCTTCTTCAGAACTCAGGTCGAGTTATTGCTAGTATGCTTTCATCTCCAGGTAGTAATCAATCACATCTTGCTCGCCCGGTTTAATTTGCCATAACTTGGTTTTGATTTCAAAAATTTGTGATGAATTCTCAGAGTCTGACTATGTCTCCTTGACTGTGTCCCATACATCCTTCACGGTTGGTAGAAACAAGTAAGTTTTTCTGATGATCGGTTTCATGGAGTTTATGAGCCACGCTGTAACCACAGAGTTCTCAAACCTCCACTTTTGAAGAAGTGCAGCGTTGGTGGACTTCTTTGTTTCTCCAATGAGGTAACTCAATTTTTCTTTTCCATCAATTATTAACTTGATCAATTGAGCCCATTCTCGAAAGTTCTTCCCATTTAGTTTTTTGATTGTTAGTTGAAAAGATGGATTTTCCTCGGAACCTGCGGCAGAAGGTGCTTAAAATTCACCATTAAGAGAGTCAGAGGTTGCAGATCCTTCGTTATTGGTGGTGGCTTCTGTCATGATTTTGGTGAGTTAAGGGATGATCTTAGGCTCATACCATGAAATCAGGATGGTTTTTCTATCACCCCGTTTGAGCCTCATTATTTCTCGTTATAATGTTTTAAATAGTGTTTTCCTTGAAAAAAGATTGATTGAAAAGTTTTTTATTTAAAGAAAATTTTAATTTAATGTAATGAGAAATAATGGGACTCAAACGGGACTATATTTCTTAAATTTTGTACGGTACAAGGTTCCCTATTTATCGATCAAAGATGGAAGGAGAAAGGGAAATAAAATTATCCTATAATCTATAGAAATCTGCAACAAATCAATCAATATATTCTAACTATGGAAAGGGGGATCCCTAACAACCATTCTCAATCAATTAAGGATTTCAACAGATACTAACCAAAACATCGTTATCAGTTGTTGCCTTGGAGAACCACGGAACTCATGATTCGTCCGGTGCTCGAGTATCCAGACCACGGCTCCCACGAAGACAAAAAACACGACAGTTAAACACCACATTTGCCAAGTAAATGGCTTGAGGAAAGACCACGGACTAGATTTAATCTCTTTGACAGAAGCAACAACAACGAGCCCAGACTCCATGTAAGGTTGTGTAAAGTCCACAATTCTCGTCCTATTCGTGGTAATAGTAATATCCCCAACAGCTGCATCATATTTCTGTGAATCGAAGAAAACAAAAATAAGATTCCTGATAAAAAGAAAGTTTTGAATCACGGCTGTCAAGGTAGTTTAGTAAAAATTAATAAGCCAGCTCTTAGAAAGAGCACCAGTGCAACTGAGATAGATCTTATAAAAAGCACAAGTAGAAATCTGAGAAATAACTTTAGAAACATAATATAAAGACAGTTTTTATCTGACGTCAATCCTTAGTTAAATGGTGTCAAATTCTATTATTGCTTTTCACTCTGCTGCTATCTTTATTTTCGATTTTATTTACTTTTTTTCTTATATCACTGGAGCACGAAGGCTAGTCTAACAACAAGCGCATATAAAAAAAATAAGGAGGAAATACTAGGATGTTTACTTTCAGTATTCATTTTAGTATATGCCTTTATTCTAATCTTGAAAAAGAAGGGTAAGTCAAATCATAGTATATAGTATATGTAACCAGAAAGGGGGTGCTTACACTTTGCACCACATCATTAACAATGTTGTTGTATGAAGGGTTTCTTCGACCGTCTCCGTATAAAATATATTTGTGAGGAACAGGGTAAGGCAGCAATCCTATTGCAGCTTCAAATATGTCAATGCAATATCCTTTGGTCCCTAAAGGTCCTTTGTCTTTACTCACAATTTCAGCATAAGTAACTCGATATGGCACAGCAATTTGCAAAGGCTTCCCGTTGTTTGGGAACACCCATCCCCGAGGCTTTGTTGTAGTTTCCCCAGGCCATATAACACCATAGAGATGTTGATTACTGGTAGAAGTGTTTGGTGGCTTTGTATATAATATTTCTGGTGCAACAGTAGAGAGCCCCGAGTAATTTGACCAATAACCAAGCAACCTCAATGAAGTTCCACCAATGTTGAGAACATCATATGCTGGACGAATCAAATTTTTTTCAGAATCAAATTGTATTGGTCCCGTTAGACCTGTGAAGTTTGTTGCAACAAGTTTCTGGAGTAACTTTGGGCCTTCATCAAAAATTCGGAGGGCGCTTAGTTTCAGAGAGGTCCCATTGCTGTCGTGCAATCTGGGATCATTAGAAAAAGTAACAGTGCCTCCATCATCAAAGAAAGCATCAAGAGCTCGAGCAAGTAACCACACAGAATCATATGAATATAGAGCATATGAATTGAACTTTGGGGTTTCTTTATCTTTTAAGTTTCTCCAACGAGAAGTGAATTTTTTTTTAATATCAGAGTCTGGCGTGTGATGGCGAAGTGCAATAACCCCTTGTATAAGATCCATAGTATTGGGAATAACAGTATCTGAAGAATCCAAAACACAAGGAAGCCAATCTGTAGCAATCCAAACACATCCACTGTCCATCATTCCAAGACGTTTTGCTATTGAAAAGACTTCAAGACCTGAATCAGGATTAACATGTATGACAAAAACCCGTGATTCCATAAGGTTCACTCCAACCAATAGGCTTTCTATATCACTTGCAGTGGCTCCAGGAGCAAAGGCAGCCTTATAAGAAATCTTAGCACGGTTCTTTGCAAGTGCATCACCCAATATAGAAATCCCATTTCTACCATAATGATCATCAACAAAGATGGCAACTACCTCTCTCCATCCAAAGTATTCTACAAGATTGGCAACAGCATACATCTGGAAGTAATCACTTGCTGTAGTGCGAACGAAGTACGGGTACTGCAGAGCAGAAAGAGTTGGGTCTGTAGCCCCAAATGATAAGAGTGGCACATGAAGTTCACTCACGACGTGGGAAATAACATGGGCTATTCCTGACGATTGTGGACCAATTGCAGCAATAACATCTCTGTCTATGAGCTGCATAGCTACATGAGTAAGAATGCCCTGTCAAAATTTACCTCCTCTCTTTTTTCTTTTACTTGTATCATTAAGAAACTAACAAAAGGTTGGGACAAAGAAAAATTTTTAGAGATTAAGTGAAAGAAGCATGGCCTGCCGCATATTTTGATTCTTCCCAATATCCTCTAGTTGCTACATATAACCAAGATCATAATCTTCAAATGTGCAATCGAGTTTTATATATATCTGATTTTGGAGGCAAGAGAACATTATAGACTACGACAAAAGATACCTTACACGTTTTTGGCACTTTTTCAATTCCTCCAAAGCTATGATTTTATGAGAAACTGATTATGCAATCAACTAATACAGAAATGCTTGCCAAGAAAAATTTATAAGACAGTTAAACTTCTATAGGAAGATATTGTCTTGGACAGATTGAGAAAATAATACATGTAAATCTGGAATTTTGCACTTGGCACATAGCTTTGTTGAGCTGAATTGAGTATCTATATGTGTAGTACTCTGTTAAATTATATTCTGTAGTATTCAAAATTGGTTTTGAACTATCAAACATTGTAATGCACAATTATTACCTTCAACAGTTCCAAGAAATCCACTGCAATTTGTATCCTGCAAGATGAGGTTCAACTTTGTGCCCCTAAGAATGCTAGAATCAGAATTTATATCATCAACTGCAGCGATAATTGCAGGCTTAGCCGACCGTCCAATAGCAGAGTTTAATGTAAACAAAGCTCCAACGTTCACCACCTTTGGCCTAGCTGGAGCAGCGGCGTTTCTAGTTTTGCCAATAACTTCCATGGGCACCCACAAACAAGAAATGAATATAACAAGTAATTTCATTATAGGTATATGGCCCTCCATTACCAAGAACCCCAGGATATGAACAATTGATTCTTCAAGTCAAATTGCCATATTTTCAAGAAATCAAGCACCTGCTAGCAGATTCATCAGGAGAGGAAGGCTCAAAAATCCTAGAATTCGAATTCAAGAAATTTTCTACACATGGGCTCTTCCAAATTCATTATAGGTATATGGCCCTCCATTACCAAGAACCCCAGGATATGAACAATTGATTCTTCAAGTCAAATTGCCATATTTTCAAGAAATCAAGCACCTGCTAGCAGATTCATCAGGAGAGGAAGGCTCAAAAATCCTAGAATTCGAATTCAAGAAATTTTCTACACATGGGCTCTTCCAAAAATAAAAGTTATAATGAGGAAAAAAAAAACCAATTTGCCACTTAGATATTGATTACCAAGAGGGGACAGAGAAAGGAGGCAATCTTCACACTGAAAATAATTATGAATTCAAAATTTTCTGATCCCCAAAATCCATTTAACTGGGTTTACCATTTTGAATAAATAAGCCCAATCAATCACACAAGCATTTATACTTACGTAATTAATGATTGATCATAAGAATTAATGTACTGAAAGTGACAATGGAAACTTGTAGAGATGAACTAAAGATAATTAAGTACCAGCAAGTGGTGAGAGAGTGAGTGGGTACCGCCCAGAAATATTTACCTCAAGAACATCCAAGAATCCAATTTGAGCAATTTCACAGTTAAGTCCGCATGCATGTGATGTGTGTGTGTGTGTGTGTGTGTGTGTGGAGCTACGAACAACAGAACCACATTCTATAAGTAGTAAAATTAACTAGGTACACAGTCTTGCAAGCTGGGCAAAGAATTATTCTTCCCATTTCCACTCACTTCACAATTTAGCTTTATAATATTCATCTTGTCATTAAAAGTGGGATCTGCTTTGATGTGAAAACCTGTAAAGTCGAGTTAGAATAATTTATACTGAAAAAAAATACGTGATAGACAAGATTTGTGTCGTTCAACTGAAGGGAAAATTGCAGCATTAGTTCTCAACCAGTGACGGCATTGACTGTAAACGGGTTAGCGATCACCTAAGATCCCAAATTATGCAAGGTTAATCGGATGATTGAAGAAAAATGAAAATTATATTTATAGAATTCTATAAAATAGAATTATCATATATATATATATATATGGCATAAAATTATATTTATTTGTTAAATATATGATAAATATATCACAAGCATTACTCTCTCTTTACTACTAATTTGACCATTTATTTTCTAAACATTCATTATCTTTTCTTAACAAAACAAATGTCTCTTTGTCTTATAAAATTACACGTCCAACAGTCATCCACCATAATTTTTTTCAACGCAACAAGAAATAAATTATTTCTCTTTGAATTAAAATTTTAAAGATTCAATCTCACTGTTATTGTTACAGTTTTACGTGTTTATTTCTTTCTTCCTTACCTTCAACACATATACTACAGAATAACCACTTAGAATAACAAAACAGATTATATTTGTCGAGAAGTGCAAAGTAAATAAGTTGTTATTATATTGTATTGCTTTAATCTCATGATAATAGCCTTTTAA